GGGCCAACACCCCTTGGCACCAGGCTGGGCTGGGCTCTGGGGACCTGCGCTGACCCAGGTGTGGTCCCTGTCCTCGCAGGGACACAGGACCCAGGAGAAAGGGGAGCCCAGCAGGCTGACTCACAGGTGCCCGGGGCTGCAGCACAGACAAGAGCCAGTCAAACTAACAACAGATGCAGAGCACACCAGCCTTGGGGCCAGGAAAGGGGGCTCTGACTAGAGGGTCCCAAAAGCCACCCTGGAGAGCTGCACCTTACCCTGAAGCAGTAGGGACGGGTACAGGTTGGAAGTCAGTTGGAACAGAATGAGCCTGAAATCCTGGCAGACACCTAAGAGGAGGTGTCCCATGGGAAGCCTGAATAATCAATCCACTGGCTCCAGAGAGAAGGGGAGCTGTTGGCAGGTCTGAGAGGGATCCAGTGTCTGTCACCGGGGAGGGTCGGCAGGTCCGAGGACAGGCCCAGGGAGAGGCTCCCTCCAGTGGGCAGAAGCAGAATAGGGGAAATGAAGAAGGGTGGCCTGGAGCCAGGAAAGCAGAGCCACACAGATGGCTGTGTCCACCAGGTGCCACCGAGCACAGGCAAAAGGGACTCTGGGCCGTCCCTCCTGGGCCATGCAAGGCTGGGGACTAGGAAAGAGGGCTGTGTGGGCGGCAGGCTCCTGGCTGGGGTTGGGGAGGCCAGCCTGGCACCCGGCCTCACAGACAGAGAGCTCCCTGGCACCCTGCAGATCCCAGCGTGTGAAAGGCCAGTTCCGGTGGGCGTGGCTGTCACTCAGGCAGCGGCAGCACCGGGGCTGCTCTTCCTGCCTGGAGAAGGAGTGGGTGGTGTCGGGCCTCGGACCGGTGCTCCCTCAACAGTGGGCAGCGCTCAGCCTCTCCTCGCACCCTCAGCACCCCTGGCCTCCAGGGAGAGTCCACACATCCACCGGGAGCCGGGCCCCCTTGCTCAGATGCAGACCACCGGCTGGCCTCAGCACCCTGCCTTGTCCTTGAGACCTCAGCTCAGCCCACACTCCCGCTGATGCACGGGGTCTGCCTCCCAGCCCTGCCCCGGAGACCCCGTCCGCTGCTGTTCACCAAGGGGCATGCAGTCACCCCCAGCCCTGCTGGGACACTGGGCACGGCCCAGAGCCAGGGCTGCACGTCCTGGGCATTGGTGTGACACTTGCTGACACCCTCTCCTCTGTTCAGAGCCTCTGGGGACCAGCACTGGCCTGAGAGAGGCCTCGGCCCCGCCCTCCACAGGCTGAAAGTCCAGCAGGGAGCCACAGCTGGGCCTCTGTCGGGCAAAGGAGGCGAAAGCCGGGCGAAGGCAGCGGCTGGACCTCAGGCCTGAGCCCCTAACCACCAGGCGTCCAGCTCTGCACAGGCAGACGGCACTGACCCAACCGGCTGCTGCGAGCTCCCCAAGCTCCCACTGTGTTGAGCACCACCCGTGGAGGAGGAGCAGGGACCTTCCAGCACATCCTGCGCCTTTTTCAGCCTGCCTGGTTCTCCCTCCACGCTGGCTGGAGAACCTGTCCTCGGACATTTTTTAGCTGCTTACAGGGACAGTCACAAATCAAGGTGGTGTTTCAATCTCATGGCTATGGAATATTAATGGCCAAAGAGAAAGAGGGTCTGCTCAGAGGGGTGCTGTCACCCCAGCCCAGTCCTCTGCGAGGACCCAGGCGGAAGCACACAGGTGGGAGCAAAGAGCCCAGGAAGTCAGAGCCGGGGTCTAGGCGTGCGGCCCCAGGTACTGGTCTCACCACTGTCCCTAGTGACTTTGTCTGTCTGGAGGTGGCCCTGAAATATGGCCTTAATTGCTTTTAAAATCTCCAAGAGGCTGGGGCTATGGCTCAGTGGTAGAGCACTTGCCTAGCACAGGTGAGGCACTGGGCTCAATCCTCAGCACCACATGAAAATAAGTAAATTAAATAAAGGTCCATCTACAACTTTAAAAATATTAATGAATAAATAAATAAATAAAATCTCCACGAGAGCAACGGATGGGGAGGAAGCAACCTGTGGGCTTCAATGTTCTCATGGGAGGAGGGCTGGGCTGGGCAGCGGGGCAAGGGCTCCTGGGGGAGTGGCTGGACCCACCCAGGGTCAGCACAGCTCCTGGCACACAGACACCAGGAGGGTCAGCTCAGGACAACCCGCCAGGCCTTCCGTGATACCACAGGGATGACACACTCCCTGCAGGAAATCAGGGGAAAGGAGCCACCAAGAAGAGAATTGCCCGAGTCCCGCCACCCAGACATCAATTCTGGAACATTCCAGAGCCTTTGACCTCGCTGCACATCCAGGATGGCCTTTGAAAAATGTCTTCGAGTCGTCCCCTCCGTGAACCTTCCCCAAGCCCCCACCACACCCAGAATCAAGCCCCACTCTGGCCCTGCCAGCATGGCCTGTGCACATGGGCGCCCACCTCCTGCCCAACTCTGCTAAGGCTCCCTTTGCCATCCAGGGCCTGCTGCCCCACAGTCCTCCCCCAGATCTGCCCAGGAGGCCTTTGATGACCACCTAGCTCAGCTCCACACAGCCTTCCCCACCACAGTCCCTGGCTGGTCCTCAGCAGGCACCTGTCACTTTAAGAGTCCTCACTGATCTGGCAAATGCCAGGAAGCAATATCAACTTTCACACAGCACTTCACAGTTTACAAAACCTGACTACCTCCTCCCCCCAACACAGCCTCCAGACTACTCTGGGAGAGAGGCAGGGCGAGGGGAGCCTCGCTACTCCCATTTAAAAAGAGGCCACCAGAGGTGACATGTGGCTGCCACAGTCACCCAGGCAGGAAGCGGACCAGAGCGGCTGGCAGAGACGCCACAGAGCGCTTGACTCCAGGGTCAATCGCTGGGTTTGAATACCAGCTCTGCCTCCTGCTGGCTGTGTGACCTTGTGCAAATGCCCTCACTTCTCTGGGCTTTGGTTTTCAACTCTGTAAAATGAAGACAACACTCAACACTCGCTCCTCCTCATTCTGCTGTCAGGAGGACTGAGGACGTAGTGACACACACTAAGGGCACAGAAAGTGCCTGGCACATATTAAATGCGAACAAACACTGGCTCTGTACACAAACATGCCTGGCCAGATGTACCTAACCAGCGCCCGGTCCATGGCCAGCCCTGACTGCCGGCCCAGGAAGGCAGGTCTCACTGTGTGCAGCACGAGGTCCCCAAAGCCAGCTGCCAAGGGACTTCTGTTCTCAGTCACTGTAAGTCCCTTGCTGCTTGATCAAGGACAGGGGAAGCTCCTCACCAGCCAGAAGCCCAGCCCCCTCGAGTGACGGCCCCGACATCTGCAAACACTTCCAGCAGCAAAGCTGGGGGCTGGGGAAGGGAACGAGAGCAAGGCCCCCCTGTGAGCCCACCCTAATGACCCGGGCGCACAAACGCTCCACCAAATTCAGGTGCAGATGCTAAGGAGGCCACCCACACGCCCAGGCGCGTCTCCTACCTCTGTCAAGCGCCTGTCTCAGTGCACTGGGCTCCCAGGTGGCCGCCCCTCCCTGGGCCCTCTCGGTCCAGCCCCTCGTCACCACCACATCCTCCAGGCAAGTACCCAGGCTCACCCTGACCTGAGCTGTCCCCTCGTTCCACCCTGTCCCCTCATCTGACTCTCCTTCCCTGAGCAAACTGCCATGCCCTGCCAAGGCCCTGAGAAGGGGTGCCCTGCCCCGAGGACCTCATCAGTCCTCATGTGACTGTCCCACAGCCCTCAGTCCCCACCCCCAGCCCATGAACCCTGTGGCTCCTCCGTGGGCTCCACACTGAGGAGGGCATGTGTGCCAGGCAGACCTTGAGAACCTCCATCCTCCTGCCCCACGGGGACGCACACCGTGACCACTGGAACTGCTGCCAAGTTCAACAGGCAGAGGGGGACGAGCCTGCCACGGTGCGCCTGGCCCAGGGCGAGTCTGGTTGTCTGCCTGGGAAACAGACCTTGGACCCAGCCAAGTGGAGCCTCACCTGAGTCCCCTGCTGGGTGGCAGCCCAGAGCTGGAGGCCATGTGGCCGGGCCAGGGGCCTGAGGAGTCCTGCTGGCAGGAGCCCTGCAGGGGCCTCTCCCACCCCAGCCTGCACATGCTTCAGCCCAAACAGGCCCTGGATTAGAATTTCCTGTTTGAAAAATCAATATTTAAAGCACCGAGCTGCCAAGTGGAGGAGACGGCCCTGCTTGTAAATACTCCCCTGGCAAAGCTGGGCCTCCCGCTCGCCACGCCACCCGCCTGGCTGCGGCCTCTGCCGCACACACAGCTCCCAGCCAGCCGCAGAGCGAGGCCCCGCGAGGCCCAAGGGACCGTCTGGCGGCCACAGGAGCTGCATACAGAGGTGGGTCGGCCCTGCACCCCCGTCTCCACCACCACAGGCCTGTGCGCCAGGCCGCCTGGGGGCCATCCATCTGTCCCCCAGGGTGGGGACAGAGCCCCACTGGGAGGTTTCTCTGGATTCCCAGGCAAGTGAATTCTCCCAGGGGGCTCCAGATTTCATTCCTTCTTATTTTGGAAGAAAAGCACAAAGACAAAGACAGGATTCCGGGGACGCGTAGAGATCACCGCCCACCCTCGCACGCTGTATGCCAACAGCTGCCCGCAGGGGAGCCCACATCTGGCCCCCTGGGTCCCTCCTGGGTCGGCGGAGGCTGCAGGGACCCTCACTGGGAGGCTAAGCGAGGCACGTGTCATTCGCCCCCTCGGCATTGGAGGCTGGACACAGGGAGGCCAAACAGACACGAGCAAAGTCCCTCCGAGAGGAGGTCTCCCAGGCCCCATAAAAACCTCTCAGACAAATGGAAAGATGGCCAAGACAGGTGCTGGCCGCGGAGGTCCTAGGCGGGACCCGAGAGAAAGACACAGCCTGTCCGAGGTCAGGGACGGCTTTCTGGCCGGTGGAGGGTGCAGCAGAGCAGGGCGGATCGGGTGCCAGGTGGAGGGGCAGCTTCTGGAGGGGAGCCAGCAGGACCCACATCCTCCCCGCACACCTGGCCGCCCAGCAGGCGGGACCTACCCAGCCACTCGTTGAATTTCTTCACCTCGCTCGGGAGCCCCAGCTCCGTGAAGTCCCCCGCGTGGATCAGCACATCACCGTAGGGCATCTGGATGGGGTCGGTCCTCGAGTGGGTGTCAGAGACGCAGACAAAGCGCGTGTAGCCGGGTGGCTTGGGGGCATCATGAGGCACCGGGTCCACCCTGTGGGGAGAAGAGACACCGTGGGTCATGGGCCCACAGAGCCGTGAGCCTGAGGGTGCTGTGGCCAGAGCCACACTCACATCCCCACAGACAGAGGTGGAGCCCCAGCCTTCCGAGGGGTCCAGATCTGGGCTCTTGCTCGCTGGGGACAAGATATTTTTGTCCCCTGAGCCTCAGTTTGCCCCTATGCCCAGGAATCCCAGAGGGCCGTGGAGAGGGCTGAGGGAGGTGATGAGTGAGCATCTGGTCATCATGCTCACGTGTGGCGGAACTAAAGCAGCATTTCCCAGCCTTGTGTCCATGCTGCCCACCACATGATTTAACCCACAGAAAAGCTGCATCGCTAAGTAGTGTATGTCTGTCTGCACCTGGACAGATGAAGGACAAAGGGTCAGACTTTTTCACCCTCCAAAAGCCAGTTTTCACCCCCTGGAGGATGCTACTGCCCCCACTGAGGATACCTGGACTAAAGTCCACGGTCCAGTCAAACTGACCAAGGAGAGCCGTGTGGGGAAGGAGGGATTCAAGGAGACACTTCAGTGCAGACAGATTGCAATTTTTCAAAACCATGAGCTAGTCTGATCACTTTCAGACCGAGAGCCTTCCAGGGGCATTGTCTCACGGCGTCAGGAATCAGATCAGGCTTCCAATCCCTCCTTGCTGCTTGTGGCTTACACGTGACCTTGAGCAAAACACACTGCCTGGGTTTGTGCCTCTGTAAAATGGAGCCACCTCCCCAGGCAAAATACTCAGAAAATTAAAGCACGGCACAAAAGTAAGTCCATTTCCTGGGGAGCCCGTGGTGGCTCTCTAGATTCATACCCGAGGACTCAGATCCAGCAGGTGAGCAGGACCCTGAGCTCCCCAGGGCACAAGCGTGGACAGGGCTGAGGAGCCGGCTGCCCGCTCCCAGTCCAGGGCTCTTCCCCACTCGCTGCCTCCCCAGCTGGATGGCTGTGCCAGGCTCCAAACACTTAAAAACAACGCAATGACATTTCAACGAGCAGATCTCTCCAAATGAGAATGCCGCTCCAGGAGTTGTGTTTAAATCTAATTATGCGGCAAACCAAAAGCGGTACCATATCAGTTACATAAATACTTTTAAAGACATCTTTCTAATTATCCTTTTTTTCAGACAATATATTCGAAGAAATTTAATTAACACCTTACGAGAGACGTGGGAGCGGCATGCTAATGTGCAGGGAGCCCTAGCATGTGGATCTGCGGCAGGTGAAGGTGCCATGCCAGCCTCTCCCGCCACCATGTCACCATGTCACCGTGGGAGGGAGCACCTGTGGCCCCTTTCTAGGGTTGTCAAGCCAAGGCAGAATCCCAGCAGGATGGGACTGGCCCAGGCTAGTGAGCAAAGAAGCAATCCCCCTGTGAGCCGCTGATGACCAGCCAGGAAGGGGCGGGCTCTCCCTGCTGTCATTCACTCATTCATTCTGCCTTTCTTCAACACCTACTGTGCGCCAGCCCTGAGCTCAAGGAGGGCCACAGGGAGGACCCAGGCTTGGTCACCGCCCACCAGGGGCCCACTAGTGGAGAGCAGATACAGACTTGGCTACACAGTGACCCTACAGCCACCAGTTCTGCCAGAGCAGCAGAGGCGGTGGGCCAGAAAAAGCCCTAACCTGGTTTTGGGCTTCTGGAAACTTCCAGTAGTAGGCAGTGCCTTATATGGTCTAGAAGCTGAAAGCTCCCTCCCAGTGATACCCCCGGGACCCCCACCACCATCCCCACCACCATCCCCGGAACAGGCAGAGAGCTGGCTGCGGCCCCACCCACACGCCCCGCCTCCACCTACACGCCCCGCCCATCCCGACACAGCTGACCAAGGGCAGCCAATCACACCTGGGCTGCAGGCCGGGCACCTGAACTCTAGAGCCAATCAGATCATCCATATTCTCTCACTCTCTCTGGTTTTGAAGAGGCTACCAAGCGACAAACACCACGCCAAAGAGGAAAAGAGATGAGAAGGGCAGAGACAGGGGGCAGGGTGCCGCCCAGCAGCCCGGGGCTGCTCTCCTCCTGCACTTCTCCTAGTGAGGAGCCCTGAGCGGGCCACCAGGCAGCCAGGGGCTCTCGCGGGCTGGGCCTGCTGTTGGAGCCAGAGCTCTTTAATTAACTCTGCCTTACTTCCCTACACCCCGAGGCTCCTGCACAGTGAAGATGCAAACCCAGCAATCCCCAGAGAAGAAAATAAAGGCTCTCGTTTCCCGCTCAGTCCTTGGGCTGTTTGGATTGTAGCAAACGCTAAACCTTAAAATAATAACGGTACTGATATCAATGATTCCCACGCATCAAGAGCTCGTTCTGGAAAAGGAAAAAAAAGAGCTCCTTATGCGCTGAGCCTGTTACCTGCACATGCTCTCCCCTCCCTCCCCGGGACCATCTAAGCAGCATACTGCGCTGTCCCCGTGGTACAGGTGAAGAAACCCGGCTCAGAAAACCTGGTTTACCCACAACCTCGGCCATGGAGCTGGGTTTATCCCAAACCCACACCAGGCTGGACTACCTCCAGAACCTGCTTCGTTTCTTTCAATCAATCCATGAACAAATGCTTACAAAGGAACTCCCACGTGCCAGACACCTGCTGGGTGTGATGGATGCACCTGTAGAGAGTACACCCACAGAGGCCACTAGCAGGGGCTCCCATAAACTGTAACTGTGTTTAGAAATGAGGGAAAAGGCAGAAGAGACATGGAGAAAGAGTCTCTGAGATGGCATCATTGGAATCCTGGATCCAGCCATGCCTGAAGCTAAACCCAAACTTCCTAGCTAATGACATGAGCTAGTAAACGAATTATATCAGCTGTGTTTCTGACACTTGCAGTGACAAAACCCCAGCTAACACTTGAGTCACAACAGCCCTATGGATTAAGCAAATGAGGCCAGGAAAAATAAGTTCCATGCTCAAGGTCCCACCTAATAAGATAAAGTATAGAATTTGAACCGAGGTCTTCCAACAGGAATTTGGGCATCTAACTGCAACACCTTCTTGCAAGCAAAATGGTTATTTCCTAGTGACATTCTTCAGGGACCAAACATACGGTGTAGAAGCACATGTTCTTCTTTCCTAGAGCTGAGGCTTCTGCCTGCTGAGGTGCTCAGACGCCCACCAGCAGCTCTCCCGCGGGAACAGGGTAATGGGAACAGCACAGAGTGAAGAGCACAACCCAGAAACCCAGGACCAGTGACCACCGACTGCGCCTGGCCCTCCCCGGCTCTGGTCCGGCTCTGCAGGGTAGACAGAGCTGGGGGGCAGAGGCATGCACCATGGGGATGCTGTGGGAGCCTAACTGACCCTCGCAGCTCAGAGCCTAGTGCCAAAGCCCCTGCAGTGACCTCTGCCCTGCTCTTGGCTCTCGCTCTTCCCCATAAGCCATCGGCTCCAGGCAGTGCCATTCTGGCATCGGATGCCCACACAGACACCAAGCAGAGTGGTTACCCCCCATTACCTCATCCTGGGGAAACGAGCACGCCCGTGACAGGACACCCCCGTGTGTGGGAACTCTACAAACAGGGAAACCGAGGCCCAGGGAGGGCAGCGGACTGACGGGCTGATGCCCACCAGAGCTCTTCCCCAAAGCACTGCCCCAGAGACATGCCCTCCTGTGCCCAGACCTGAGCTTCTGTCCCCCCTCCAGTCTCTGCTTTAGCTGGTCCCTCTGCCCTAGAATGGCCAGGTCCACTTAAGTCAAAATGCCGCTAGACCTCCAGGGATGCAGCCCAGGCTGGCAGGGCGCCTAGGAAGCCGCCCCACCAGTCAGTGTGTAGGCAGACTGACGCACCTGCCGAGGGGACTCCGAGCACCTCCAGCTGGGGGGCGCTGTGGCCTGTCCCTGGTGGGGTCAGGGGAGGCTTCCTGAGGGAGTGACACTGAGTGAGCTCTGGAGACCAGCAGGGCAAAGCTGTAGACGCAGAGGGAAGAGCAGGTGCCAAGAGCTGAGGTGGGAGGAGGGGAATGTTCCGGAGACAGAGGCAGCCAGTGCCTCTGCTGCCCAGTGGAGGAGGCAGGCAGGACGAGGCCAGAGAGCGAGGTGTGCCAGCTCGAGGCCTCCCACCTGCCTTGCCCGCCAGCCCTACCCAGGCCGGAGGCTGAGCCCTTGGCCTCTGGAGCCTCTCAGCAAGCAGACAGGAGCCGGGGCTGAGCAGCAGGCCCGACGCCACCTCCCAGCCTCAGTCTCCTCCACTGTAGGGAGGGTGCCAGCGTGCCCACCTGGCATAGTTGGCAGGGCCAGGCGCCTGCCAGCCTGGCTCTCAGCCCCTCTCCCTATGCACGTCAGGACCCAACGCTACCCGAGGGGCCCGGGGGTCCACACCTCCACCACGCCTCCCCGCGGCACTAGGCAAACACCTCCCCGTGGCCCGTCCCTGACCCTCACCCTTGTCTTCTCCCTGCCACCCGGGCGGGAAGTCTGGGGCCTGGAAGGGCCTCCCAGGGACCCACAGGGTTTACAGCCCTCCGGGTGTGGAGTCTTCAGCCTCAGGACCACAACCCAGAGGCCCAGGTGCATAGATTCAGGTTCAGGCGAAGGCAGCCTCGTCACAAGCAGGGTCTCTGGGGCCACTGCATAAATCACAGGTTCAATCAGAGGCCATGTTTGGACCGTCACTGTTGTCATTAAATGTAAATTATGGATTTATTAAATAAAGCCCCCTCGCTCCCTCACCCTGGAGACAAAGCCCAGGGTGACAGTAAGTCACAAGTCAGGAAGTGGGGGCATCCCTCCTGACCCTCCCGGAGATGGAGTGGCCCCCTCACCGTGGAAACTCCTCAGCCACCCCATCAGCCTGCGCGCCTCCCCCAGGCTAAGGGCCTCCGTGAAGGGCCTGGAGGCAGCGACCCCGGGTCCCTGTGCCACCCCGGCTCACCCAGCTCTGTGCCATGCTGCGTTTCAAAGCCAGAGCTCAGGGTATTCCCAGGACCCTGCCCAGACCCCCAGGGCCACTGAGCCCCACTGCCAATGGAAGCCAGGGACCGTCACTGCTTGGGGTGAGGAGGGGAGAGACCTGGCCAGCTAGGAAGCCGGCTGGACCACAAGAAAGCCACCAAGCATTCATCGCTACCAGTGCCACATGGTCGCAATGACATGTTTTATGACACTTCCGCTGTCTTCCCTCCATCTGGAGCAAGCTCCGTGTGGGCAGGCATTCGTCTCCAGCACTGTGGTGTCCTAACCTCTCAGGGCATTTGCTGCCCACCCAGCTGCCCTATGAGGCTACCCCCCCTCATCCCAGGCCTGCTGTCAGCAGCACTTCACAGCTGGGGACAATGAGGCAGCACCAGGCAGGATCCCACCCTCAGATGAATGAGGGACCCTCCACTGCACACTGGTTAAGAGAGGGACATCAGTGGTGTCTCACTGGGTCACTTACTCCATGACCATCCTCAGGACCCAGTCTGACCCGTAGGACCCTCAAGACACCCCTTTGTCCAGCTGCTCCCTGCTGCTCCCCTGCCTGGCCCGGTCCTCCTCACGCCCCTTCCCAATCCACTACTCCCTCTCCCCCGGGCCTCAGCCTAGTTGCTGGGGCTCCTTCTTGGACTGGCCTCCTTGGCTCTCCTCTCCTGTCCTCCTGTTTCTCTGGCATCATTCCCAGACCCAGGTCTCCCTAGACCCTGGGTGTCCACCAGGCCAAGACAGAGGTGCAGTCAATGACAGCTCTGCGTGGTGTCATCCCTGGCCCAGGGCTCCTCAGAGGGGTGACACGGGCACAGACACACACCAACGTGGCCTGCTCTGTCTGAAGGCTGGTGTTCTCCCACGTCACACCGGCAGGGCTTCCAGGACCTCAGGCACAGTCACCTCAACCTCCCGGCTGGAGAACTCGCCTCACCTACCCTGGGGCAGACACCTCGCGGCAGCCGGGTCAGGCCTCAAGGAGCAGGGAGCCTCAGCCCCAGCCTCCATACTGTCCAAATCCACCAACCTGGCCCCAAAACACAGTCAGAGACAGTTGCCTAAATCCACCAAAAAATACAGCAGGCAGCCTCCAACCACAGGCCCTGTGCCCCCACGGAATGAGCACACCCAGAGCCAGCGCCACAGGTGACAATGACAGCCTGCCTGTGCCCACCTTCAACAGAGGCCAGGGCCTGAGGGAAGGAAACCACGTGAGAAGGAGCAGAAGCCCCCACCGCACCCGGCCAGGTGGGGACCCGCGGCGCCTTCTCAGGAGGTTCTCGTGATGGCTTTTCCAGTCTCCCCAGGGGACGGCAGCTGGGACCCCCACATGAACACTCTGCCCAGAAACGGTGCCACCCCATAGTGGAGGCTTGGGGCCTGTGTCCCAGGGGTCATCGGATGCAGAGGTGCTCAGGAGGCTTCCATGGGGACCCATGGCCCTCACCCTCTGTGCTCTCCTCCACGAGGGCTCAGCTGGGCCCAGACCAGCACAAGGACAGGAGCCCAAGGTGCTGAGCAGACAGGGACGGTGCTGCTTGCTGGGGGTGGTCCCTCTACAGACACCATGCTTAGCCCTGCAGAGGGGCAGGGGTGGGGGCCTGCGGTCAGGCAGCCCTGGTGCAAGGCCAGCATGGGCCCGGGTGGGGCTGGGCGGGTCACCTCACCTGGGCCCCTGGTTCCTCATCAGGTAGGGCCTGCAGCCCAGGGCAGATGGGAGGGGTGACAGGGGTAAAGAAACCCCGGGAGGGGCCCAGAGCAGGGGTAGGAGTTCATCCACCTCTTCCAGGTCCTCAGAGAAGAGCCAGGGAGGGACAGAGCCCAAGGGCGGTGTTTGGTGCTGGGGCAGGGTCTGGCTGGAGAAGGTCGGACTGGCAGAACCCGCCGGCCCTTGGGGTAAGGCACCTCTGCTTTCCCACAGCAGCACAACCGGACGGATGGCCGGAACCCCACGCCCAGATGCTGCCCCAGGACCTGTGGCCCAGCTGCCAGGCCTTTCAGTGTTGCCCAGCGAGGCCCGAAGCCTGGGATTCTATGACCAACTGCCCAGTTTTTAAATATTTGCAGAACATGGTCCAGGTCAAATAGAGCAGGACTCAGAGCCAGCACCGGCCCCCAAGCCACCCATCTGCCACTTCCCTCGGCCCCCCAAGTCCCCCTGCCCCGGTGCCCGCCCCCCTGCCGCCCACTTACATCTGCACGTGGGGCGGCTGGAAGCGGCCCTGGTTGATGTTGTAGAAGGTGAAGGCCTGCGTGGGGTTGGAGCTGTACTCGTCCACCTCGACCATGAGCCGGCTGTGCTGGTGCCGCCGCGCGGCCATCACGTGGGACTGGGAGAACGCCATGCCCAGGCCGCAGGGCAGGAGGGCCAGGGCCTCGGCCTTCAGGACACCGGCATCCCACCTAGAGCGCCACATGGACCTCCGCGGGCCACCGGGGCATCTCCCGCTGCCACCGCCGCCGCCGCCGCCCGGCCCCCCGCCAGACCTGCAGACAGACTGAGGAGACGGAGCAGAACCGTGCGACAGTTAATCTGTTTGGGATTTGCTTTATTTAATGTCAGATGAAGATTTAGAAAGAGGGAGAGGGCGGGGGGGAGAGGGAAAAAACACAGTCGTACGCCTCAAAAACTCATTACAAATCTTTCCAACTCAGCAGTTTGATGAATATACTTTGGTAAAAAGAAAAGGGAAGGGAGGGAAAGAAGACAAACAAGCCAGGGCCGGCGTCCGCACCTCCAGACCCCGCCACCGCGGGACCCGGACAATGGCTGGTATTTTGTAAACAGGGAAGTGAAGTTTTACTTTCCACAGTGGGGGGACAGGAAGGATTCCCCTGCGGCCACACCCCTCCCCTCAAACCCCCAAACCCACCCACCCACCGGGCCCCACACGGCACCTGGCAAGCCCGGACAGGTGGAGAAATTCCTTCCTCCCTGTCAGTTGTCAGTTCTGCCTCAAGAGCCTTTAGCAGCTCGGCAGGCGGGGAAGGGATTTTCCCAGGGACAAGTGCCACTCACCTCCGCAGCACAGGGCTGCCGCAGGGTGAGGGATCACTTGAAAATAACCCTTCCTGCCCCAGCCCAAGGCCCCACCACCCACTGCCCATCCGATCGCGGGAATCCTGAGGTTCCGTCAATCCTGGATTCCTCTGAAATCGCGGTTTGCAATGCTATGATTTCTAGATTTTTTCCCCTCTCCTTGGAAAACACAGTTTGCATTTATATTTTCTGGGCTAAAAGGCCCCTCTGGCAGATTCCAGGTGGACTTCGGGAAAGGAGCCCGGTGAGACCCCTCCTACCCCGACACACCCAACGGTCTGGCCGATGCCTGGGCACTCACACCACCGATTTCCCTCTTTCTTTTCATAATTATATATATTTTTAACTGCGTATGTAGGAGATGCTTTGAAGATTTTTTTGTCGTTGTTGTTTTTCAGGTTTTGGTCGTTAAGACCCTCTGACAATTCCATTTACACTGTATTTAACCAAGGAGAAAATAATGTAATTTAAACTAGTCCTGGACAGTCGGATCCCAATCACGTTGAAGAAGGAAAAATCCCCCTTGCTTTGCGCTTGGTAGAAGAATCGACACACTCGGAAAACAAATTAGATAAGGAAAACGACAAAAATTAGAGACTGGAGAACATTTTAATTATGCGCAAAGGAGAAATGGGTTATTAATTTTTTTTTAAATCTCGGCCATCCTCGTACAAGGTAAAACTGAAATGATGTTGTCCTCCCCCTCTCCAACCCAGCCCCCCAAAACCCACCCCAACTCACACCACCCCCTTCCCACTCAGGAAGTCCAGGAGAAAAAATAAATGAGTTTCCCCGATGAATTTGCTCCTTCTCTTCGTCACTAATTGTCCCTAAGTGGACGCGTGCATTGAAGGCGGGGGAGCCAGGTCTCCTGACCGTGGTGCTCACAGAGGCAGCCTGTGCCTGTCCATCTGTCCGTCTGGAAATGCTGCCAGGCACCAAGAAGCTGGGGGAGAGGCCAAAGATGCCAGAAGTGAGGATCTACCTACTCTGAGCCAGTCCCACCTGGGTGTGATGGGTCTTGAGCCCCAGCATTGTGCTGGCTTGCTGTGTGCCTTGGGCCAACTTGCTGACCTCGCTGAGCCTCAGCTTCCTGTTCTAGAAAATGGATTTGATCATAATAATGCCACCATCCAAGGTGGGTGTGCCAGTTAAAGAGGAATTCAGCCAGACTCCTGAGCACAATGCCTGGCAGGCACCAATACCTGGCTAAAACTGGCTGGACGACTGTAATCACTACTCAGTTTAGTTGGCTGCCTGGGCTCGGGGCCTGCTACGTGCCAGGGCTGCCCGGGTGCTGGGACACCCAGCACGGGGCTGTGGAGCGTGAGCCCTGGGGCTGGCTCAGCTGCAGAAAGCACCTGTCGGGGCCAGGAGCTTGAGTCTTCCTCAAATGCACGCCTGATGTGCTTGGCAGGCCTCTCTGATGAGGACCCTTGACCACACAGCCCCGCGGGGCCTAGTCCACCCACACTCGGCCACCCAGGCCAGAACCCCGCACACTAGTGCACCCCGTGGTCTTGGCAAAGAGTGCCGGGCTCTTGTTCCAAGCCACCCTCTGTGAGGCTTCCACCTATGAGGCAGGTACCGTCCTAGCCCCTACTTTACAAGTGAGAAGGCACATGGCAGGAAAGGGAGCCTCTGGCCCTGCCTTGCCCAGCAAGTAGGTGGCAGAGCCAGGACCCAGCGCAGACTGCCTGGCTCCCCAGGACCAGCCCCCTCCCACCTGTGCCATTCTGCCCTCCTCTCAGCCAGCTAGAACCAATGTGCCCTTTTCTCACACAAGGCATGGCCTTGACCAGGGCCCTCATTCCAGGGCCTGGGCAGAACCAGGATGTCCCCTGAGGGTAGGGCTGGATCCCCTTCACTCACCCCTGTATGTCACCAGCTCTGTGACCCTGAGCAACTGGCTTAACCCCCCAGAAGTTGCTTCCTCAACTACAAAATGAAGAGGACAACACTCCCTAACGGTCAAGAAGATTGAATGAGGTGGCATGTAAACAGCCTGTCACAGGGCCTGGCGTGTAGTAAGTGTTCAATAAAGGTCAGCTATTATTCTCACATAGGGTCACCCTAGAGCCCATCACACATGCTGAACGAGTGAATGTCCAGATGGAGGGTGGATGGAGGATGGATGGAGGGATGAAAGAAAAGGAGGATGAATGGACAGGTGTGCGGATGGACGGAGCTCGACCGCTCAGCCTGTCCCTGGTGCCACCGAAGGCCTGGCAGAGGGTAGGGGTGCAGCCAGTTGTCTAAATCCCGAGGAGCCCTGGGCCCCTGCGCCTCACCTACCCCAGCAAGGGGGCCGGCCAGGCTAGGCATAGCCTTCATGAAAGGCAAGTCGGGGGACCCAGGGGACAGCGGTGGTGGCGGGACTCCGCACCAGAGGCCTCAGCCCGCAGGCAGGTGCGGGTCCCGGGGCGCTGGCTCCGCAGTGAAACGCTGCGTTTCACATAAAGAGGGTTCGCAGTGGCCCCGCTTGGAGAAATCAGGGGGACGGGGAGCGCAGAGCCTTCTTTTAATACCCATTTAATATTTATGGAGCCGCAGCAGCCGCCAGCCGCGAGCGCGCGTGCGGGGAGCCGCACTTCCTCCGCCGCAGCCGTCCGCGGGGGACAGCAGCATTTCCAAACAAACGGCTTTTAGCTGGGAAGCGTTTACACCTGGTCCGCGAAAGACCGCAGGCAAGCGCGGGGACGCTGAGGGACACCGCGGGGCTCCCGCCCTCCCGTCCAGCCCCGCGGAGTGACCTTGAGCAAGTCACACGCCCCGGTGCGCGACAAGCGCCTCCCTAGTGCGGTGGGGGAGGGCGAGGCGGGAGGGCCGGCCTTGCAGGAACTAGGCACTTCCGTTCTCGGGATCACCGCCAGAGTGCTGCAGGCTGTCACCGCTCTCCCTGCCCAAAGGGTGTGACAAAACTAGGTCCTGCCTGGAGGAAGATGATGGGGGACATAGGTCCATAAATATGCAGAAGGAGAGCCTGCAGGTGACAATGGGTACATGGCAGACAGCAGGAGGATGAGGTGCCGAGTGACCAGGGCAGGACCTGCCAAAGGAGTGACATCCCCTCATACACAAATGGTGAGAGGGACAGCAACAACCAGATCCGGGGAGGGAGCCACAACAGGGGGCGAGAGCAGTTTAAAGGCTTCCTCCTGGGCTAGCCTTGCACCGGAGCCTCCATAAAGGCCCAGGAACCCCGATCTGGAGGCTCCCGGGCTCTCCTGTCCAGCACCTGTTGAAAATCCCATTCATTTTCAGGGCTTGCTTCTCAAAAGTCTTATCTTTTTGCAAGCAGCTTTCCTCTCAGAGGCTTCCATTTGCTAGTCCTGAGGTGCCAGGAGTCCCATGGGGCCGGGCACTCAAACAAGAACCTGGGTGTTAGCCAAGACACGAGGCACAAGCAGGCATCAGGCGCCGACTGTCCGGAAGGACATCTAGGGAGGAGGTCTGGCCTCGCCCTCCCCTCTGACCACACTCCCCAACCTTCTCTGGGCTCTGCTGCTCCGGGCGCTCCATTGCCACAGCCACCCACACCGGCCTCCAGGAGGGTCCTGAAACTCTTTCAGAGCGTGCCACTCCTCAGGCACACCCCAGTCCTCAGAGCACCTGCTGCCTGCAGAAAGCCCGGCCCTTGGGCCAGCCCAGGAGCCCACGTCAGCCCCAGCTGGACCACACGGGGCTCCCTGACACACCTGGAGTCCTATGGGAGCCTCCACAGGTGCTGTTCCTCCTGCCTGGAAGACTCTTCCTGACACTCCTGCCCCTACAGCTGCCCTCTGGTTTCCAGGCTCATGCCCACTCAGACCCAAGGCAGCCCAGGGCCTTGAGACTTCGTCTCTGACCGCCCCAGGTGGGATCAGAGCTCCGCCCAAACCCCCAGGGCTTCCCTTACCAAACCTCCCAGCACAGGGCCTGCTTCTGTGTCTGAGCTAAATGAGCAGCCAAAGAACAAAGGGATATAGGAATGAGTGTGTGAGTGCGTGAGGGCGCGCGAGAGTGAGTGAGTGAATGAATGAGTGAGTGAGTGAATGAGTGAACGAGTGAATGAATGAATGAGTGAATAAATGAGTGAGTGAATGAATGAGTGAGTGAATAAATGAGTGAGTGAATAAATGAGTGAGTGAACGAGTGAATGAATGAATGAGTGAATGAGTGAGTGAATGAATGAGTGAATGAATGAGTGAACGAGTGAATGAATGAATGAGTGAGTGAGTGAGTGAATAAATGAGTGAGTGAATGAATGAGTGAGTGAATGAGTCCCACAGCCCAGATTTGAAAAGCAGCTTGAACCTCCCTATCTGGATTTTTCATCTGCAAATTTTCAGATGTTAAAGCGTCCCTCCCCGCCTGTCAGGAGATTAAGGGACATGGGATACAAAAACCACACAGCTGAGAGCCCAGCACACAGTAGGTACTTACTAAATGTCTCTTCTATTCTGCTCAGAAAGTTCTGATGAAACTCAGGAGCCCGGCAGGAGACTTGTGAGAATCCAGCAGAGGTTTCCAGATGGTCAGGCAGCCCCCAGCTCCCCTGCCAGAACCCCAGGTTTCCTGAGCCCCTCTTTCCTACCGGGAAGCCACCAGTTATTCTCCTTCCCAGGGTGCAGTGGCTGGATACACCCAGCAGGACCTGCCTCTGCTCATCCTCTGGGCGCTGGGGAACACTGGTGAGCCCCTGAACATTCACTGCTCCTTTTCTGGGAGCCAAGTGACCCAGACCTGAGACCAGCCCTTGGGAGGCTCAGGGCCCTGCAGGAGCAGCCGAGCAGATCAAGGGACCTCTGGGACTCCCTTGTTAAGAAGCACGGTGTAAAGAAGTCTGGAGGCCCAGGGAAGACCCCCACCCAGCTCCAAGGCTGTATATGCCAAAGGCCCCGAAAGGAGAGAGCTGTGAAGAGTCCTGACACGTGGACCAACTCGGCAGTGGATTTTTGCAGAAGAGCCACCTAGTTCGTCCTCACAGTGAGGCCCACCCTGCACCCGGTGAGACAGGCAGTAAGCACCTGTCTTGTCGTGCAAACAGGACAGACCTGTTCTGCCGAGTGGCCTGAGGCAGCCACCTCTACCCAACACACACCCCTCAAAGTCAGCGTGGGTCAAGAGCAGTGCTGCCTTGCGGCTGTCCACCGATGCCCTTGTTATCAGCACCTGCTCTAGCTCTCAGAAGTGCTCCCATTTGGAAAGCGAAGGTCACTCTCACCAGAGTCAAAGTGAGGCCATTCAAGCCACCACCACAAAGCCTCCCGTCTCTCACTGGCCCGTCTCTAACAATAACTGTGAGTGAGGGCGAAGCCTGTTGTCCTCAGTCCAGAACTCCAGAGAATCGACGTCTGCACGGGGACGACAGTCTGATGCAGCACAGAAGCCACCAGAGCCTTCTCCCGGCTGCAGCGTTCCAAAGAGCCAGCATTGCGCAGGCCCTTCTCCAGGAGTTCAGCCCTGAGCAGGCGGCCAGCGGCCCCGGGCTGCACCCCCTGCCCCAAGCACGGTTGATTGTCCTCAGTCAGGGAAAGCCAGCCCAGGGAAGGCTCTGCCTACCTACCGAGGCTTTTGTTGCAATGTGGCAAAATGACATTAAAAAAAAAAAAAAACACCAGCCCCCACCCCGGGCACATGCAGGAGATAACATTCAATGGAGAAGTGCCACAGTGTGGGGTTGGGGAAGAATTCTTCCACCTGCCACCTTCCCCACAGTTTGAAAACCACTTTTAATTCTTATTTCCTTCCCTTGTTTTGCTTGTGCCTGGATATATGCAACTGATCGGTTGATGGTTGGAAATGTCATAAGGGGCAAAAATAAACAGATGAACCCAAAGGAAAGGAAAGAGGCAAATAGCTCAATGGGGAAAAATCAGACCCAGGCCCGCGAAGCCCTAGTACAATCCGGCCCTCCATTTCTCCTCCCTCTGCTCCACCAGGGGTTTCCACGAAAAAGAAAATACCGACCAGAATCTGGGATTCGTGGCTCAGCTGAATGAGCCAATGAGCTGAGCAGATGAAGGACTCCACGAATATACTGAAAATTAGACCATATTCCTTGAAAAGGGATCAACCACAAGTGACTTTAAAGCATTTACCACTTAAAAACCTTTTAGCTGGGCCCATTTTGAATTATGACTACATGATTTTAAATTACACTTTCTAATTCCTCGCCCCCCACCCCCAGCAGTTGCTGCTACTCCATTTCCCAATTATGTACTTTTATTTCAGAATGATAAAGAGTGCTACTTACTGGATCATGTCCTGTCTGCCACAAATAGCTGCTCACTTATCCCCTTAATTTTAGATATGAATGCAGTTGGTTCACTGGGCTCATCTTCAAATTCTGAATATTCCCCGATCCCAGTGCACAGAACGAGGCCCGAGATGCAAAAGAAACCCGCAAAGCTCGGGCAGAGAAATCTGCTTGTAAACCCGGGCTCCACTCCATAAATTATTATAATTCTTGGTGCTTTCTATATCCATCTAGCAGATCAGCGATCACATAAATAATAGTGAGTGGACTGATTTTTTCTTCTGCAAAGTGCTATGTCCTAGTTTTCAAAATAAAGCTCTTGGAGATTCACGTATCTGTGGAGTTGCAAGGGGAAGCAGCTCAGATCCCGTTCACACACACACACACACACACACACACACAGGCATGCCGCACACAAAAGGGAACCAAGTGAATGTGGAAAAGTCGGCATCCTGCGTCCCCTCCCCACAGATCCACCCGCTCATGCTCAGTGGCAGTGGGGGCTCAGGACTTGGGTGGCTAGGGAGGGGGAGAGGCAAGAGGGTCTGGCTCTCAATATTCAAATAAAATTTGCGAAGAAAGTCAACGTGGATCTGCAGTTCTCGTGGAAATCTATTCAGCAGATGTCACCGGAGCACAATCAAGTTGGCCCTATGGTCATTCCACACTTCGGTCTGCAGTTGGGGTTTGGCCATTTTTACGATCAGTTCAAGTATATTTTTTGTGGTCATGTGGGAATTTGCAATTGAGGATTCAACCTCCAAAGTGTGATCAATTAACTGATGTGCCTGAATAACAAACTCATTCCCCCACTGCACTGCACTGTGCACAGAGCCCAGGCGGCCGAAACTGCGGGAGAGGGGAGGCGTCTGCACTTCCCTGTGAAGAGGGAAAGGCAGGGTGTGGGGAAGGGCCTGCATTTCTCAGGTAGCCAGTGCAATCTGTTCTGCAGTCTTTCAGGCTGCAGAATGTGCAGAAAACACGGAAGAATGCACTGGAGGGGAGAAGCGAAGGCAGGCGCGGGACGTTGGAGGGAAGCATCATTTTCTCCTGAAAGTGATGACATTAGCATGGGAGATGCCAAAGGCTTCATGTGCATCAACGCTGAGCCTCAGATCCCCAGAAGAAAGGCGCGAGAATGCGAAGATGAGCAATGGACAAGCTACCTGACAGACATCACCTTCAGATGTAGGTGGGGGCGAAAGGGAACCTGTTATGCCTAGCTCTGAACTGGACGCAGAGCACCATCAACCAGAGGGAGATTTCTCCCTCTCGCCCTCCCTCCTTTCCTTCCTCCCACCTTTCCTTTCTTCTGTCTGTCCGTGCTTCCTTCCTTCTTTTTTTAACTGCAGCTGCTCCTATTTACGATGAATGACCAGGTTCTGACCTCAGGCTGGTCAAGCTCACATCCAAGAAAATTCCCTAAAGAATACTTTGCAGAGAGGCATGGGAAGACCCAGGAGCATCTCAAGTCACTGTACAAGTTCAAAATTGGTATATGAATCTCAATTTGCTAAGTTTTTTTGTTTCATGAAATTGGGCTGCCTTGTCGGCCATAGATATTTTAAATGGAAATAGAGCATAACTAAGTCTTATCTCATTACGGGGGGAATATTGTGCCGGCAGCAGATTGGTGGGGCCACAGCGAGCACCAGGAAGAATCACGCTGATCAAGACACTTCCCCCCGACACCACCCCACAGAGGGGCCCCTTTTGACTTCCTTGTGTGTTTCTCTTTTCCCTGGGATTTTGCTTTGCACACTTTAGTCATCTCTTCAGATCCAAACCAATTTCAGTGGCCGTCTGGAGCGGGTGTGAGCTGGCCGTGTCATTGTGGGGACATGCACACACCAGGAACCAGGGGTGCAGGGAACTGCCTTCCCAGCTCTCCTCCAGCCCCGAGTATGGGGTACATCTCGCCCTGGAGAGCAAGGCGTCCAGGCCAGAAGAGCACCCCACAGCAGGCCTGTGCCTCTCCCAAAGGGCAGCAGCCTTGACAAGAGCAAGCCCAAGACCCAATTCTCAGGCTCTGTACTGGGGAAACCCAGCCCTGGTCCTTCACTCCAGAGGTGCTGACAGACAAAGGTACCACTGCTGAACAGAAAGATCTCAGAGAGAAGAAAATGGAAAGGGGATTTGTGCAAAGACCCTTTTTTGTTCCTAGTGAAGGAGGGGCAATGGGGAGACATGTCACATTGTCACTTTAAAGATTTTGACAGACGATTCTGGGATAAGGCAGAAATTCCACCCCTAACTGCGGCTCCCTCGACTTGAAAGGCGTTGACTAACCTCCACTAATTGCGTGTTTTCTATGCATAATATTTACTTGTTAAAAGTCTTTGCCCGACCGATTAATTTCCTGTGCCCCGCTATTCGTGATCAGTTCACAGGCCTGAAATTGGAAAAAGGAAGGCATTTGGACAGATTGAAAGATGACTGGGGAGGATTTTGTTTTTTCCAGAAGTCCAGCACCCACACCCAGAATGCTGCTTTTTCTCCTTGCAGACTCCCCTTCCCTGAAACCCAGCACCCACCCTTACTTCCTCAAATGAGTGGAAAGAGATGGGCACAGGAGGGGCTGTGGCTGCCTGGCTGGGAAGGCAGCAAGTTCAAGGCAGAACAACGGAACTCAATCACTCTCATCGGAGGAAGGTCTCGTAGTCCCAAGGTTGGACTCGGAAATGTTGAAAAGCACCTTTTCTTGAACAATTATTCCATACATCAGTCTGTGTATTTCTGATGCCGTTTGGGCACTAGGAGAAACACCCCCAAAATCCCATCCGTTACCTAATCTAGACCTGCCTATTGGTCCATAAGTGCAGACCCAGGGTACCGGCCTGGGTGGGTGTGCCATTCCAGAACCTCACACAGGACCTACATCTGAGGTGCTTCATCCCACATGTGGGTGACCTCGGAGACTGCCGCATCAGAATTTTGAAGATCTACTTCAATCCAGATCTTCCGAAATTCCTGGGGCGAGGCATAAATCGGAAAGCAGCCCACGTTGAGCCACTTCCGACACACGATTACCCCTCAGTGCCTGGATTAGGCCTTTTGACTAGCCATCAGCCAATTAATGTACCTCCAACGAGCACTCGAATAGATGTAACCATTTCACAGAAATCCATCTTGAGAAAAAAGATTTTACAAGTGTTGAGGGGCTGCCACTTGGAAAGCCAATTTGCAGGGAGCCCGGCATCTTGAAGCACAGTTTATTACGCATGGCTCCCACACAGCGGGCCCCTGTAGTCTGCACCTGGCTCCAGATGCCTCCCTGTCACCAACAGCTCACAGCCCTGTGCTCTCCCCAGCCTCAACCCAGGCAGAAACACAAGCCCCCCTCCCAGAATGGTCTCCTAGATCTTTGGCTCCAGAAGACCAAGGCACCACTCTCAGCTGGGATGTAGCTAGCGGTCAGCTGGTGGCCTCTCTGGCATCCCCCAAAGCATTTTTAGCCATGTGACAGATTACTCATGAAGTTGGTATAATTTTCCCCCCTTGGTCAAGGCCACTTAGGGTATGGAGGGTATTAGTGTCCCCACGGCTTGGCATCCCACCCCCAGTGCAACAGAACCCTGCCAACAAGTCCCCCACCATGGTTCCACTCCTGTCCAACCAGCTCAGCCCCACTTCCTTCCCCCAGTTTAATTTCATAATTGTTGGCCACTTACCAGGCTTCCCTCTGGGCCATTCAGGGGAGCAGTGGAAATGGGAAGGGGAGCAGCTAAGCTCCTAGAAGGTGCTGGGAGAAAGGCCCCGAGAGGGGCATCCCAGAAGGGCAGCTGGACACTAGTGGGGGCCAGTAGCAGAGTGGAGCCTCCTGACCCCACTGGGCCACCCAGCCTGAGCCTGGAGGTTGGGAAGGGAGGGAGGAGGGTGGGTCCCAAACTCCAGGTTAGCCTGCGGACTCCTGGACACAACATCTCTTCTCTGTCCCTACCCAGGCCCAGGAGACTGTGCAAGAATTGTCTCTCTCTCCTAGACCACGTCCCAGAATAAACACACAAGAGACAGAACTGCTCCCTGGCACCGGCAGTCCATGGAATGCTGCCTTGGAGGACTGGGACCTGTCTGGTTAGTCACTGAATCCCAGGCCAGGCACACTGCGGGCAGCAGTAAACAGTGTCCAGTGGGTGAGTGGATGGAGGGATGGATGCACGGGTGGATGGTGGATGGATTGATGGCTAGAAACGGATGAAGTTGCCTTCGATACCTAGTAAAAGTGGCCATTCGAGCAGCATCAGTCCCCGTCTCCTCCCAGTAAGCAGCGCCAGGGGCTCCGTGCGCACAGTAGGCTCTCCAGGACCCGGGGCTGCTATTGTTGTCACCGTCGTCATCACTTGCACCCCACCAGCCCGCTTCTTCCACCAGCTACTCTGCCAACTGCGGGCGGCGACCGGCGAGCCGGGGAAAAGTTTCGCTGACCCCGCGGCCCCAGCCAGAGTCCTGCGCCCCGGCCGGCCCCTCCCGCCCGCACCCGCTGGGCAGGCAGGGCAGCGGGGTACTCGGCCCGGCCGCCGGCGCCCCGCACAGGCGGCCAAAGTAACTTTGCGGGCGCCCTGCGCAGCGCCGCGGGCGTCACCCGGAGCCTGGAGGGGGTCCCGGCCGCGCCCCCTCCCGACCCGCGCCCCGGCCCGCCGCGCCTCGGCCCGCGCCCCGCCCGCCCGCCGGCCCTACCTGGCCCCGGGCTCCTCTTCGGCGGCCGCGGCGGCCGCGAGCAGCAGCGCGCACGGAGGGAGGCAGCGGCCCGGCTCCCGGGAGGGAGGCGCGCGGGGGCGGGGGCTCCTCCGGCGGCGGCCGCCTCGCCGCGCGTCCGAGGCTGCAAGTGGGAGGGCAGCTGGGCG